ATAATAACGTGATATCATCATTATATTGAATATTTACTACCCAACTTCACAAGTTTTGGCATTTTTTTTATTCTATTGCACCATTCATTAATGATTTTTGAGAATTTAAGAATAGCANATTTGTAATTTTTTAATTGTATAGTGACATTATGTGACAATAATAACGTGATATCATCATTATATTGAATATTTACTACCCAACTTCACAAGTTTTAGCATTTTTTTTTATTCTATTGCACCATTCATTAATGATTTTTGAGAATTTAAGAATAGCATAGTTAAATGATGGTGTGATTTTCTAATACTAGTTATTTCACGTGCTTGAATATACGGAGTAACAAAAAAATGTCAACAATAAATCTATTTGTATTCACACCTAAAATTAAATTACAAAGATAGAGGAAAGAGATAAATTTAAACACCGATTANTTTTAGATGTGATGCGACATTGACCCATAAGAAGAAATTGGGTGGAGAGGAAAAAAAAAAATAAAAATGGGTAAAGAAGTAAAAAGTAAAATCCGTGGGGTATAAGGTTTTCTTGAAGAATGCCATGGACCACTGTTGAACTTTGGTTCTTAATGGTGTGTTTGTTAAAGGTGGAAGGAAAGATGAAATCACAGAAAATAAGATTAATATATTTTTTATTGTTTAAAAACAAGAAAATATTTCCATCTCTCTTTTTTTGTATAATCTTACGGACAATTTGGTAACTCCGATTTAGGGGGCTGATAATTAATTCAAATTTAATTGAAACAAACAAAATAATAATAGCAACAATAATTTTATTTATGATATTTCCACACTTGTACTAGAAAAACATTGTCAGCAGTTTCTAGTACATTTATTTTTCATCAAGACAGAAGTGAAACACGTGGGTATTCATAAACTTCAGAAGAACAATCCACAAGAACATAGAACACAGAGGGCCTATCTCAACCGAGGTACCCGAAACACAGTGTTTTCTGATGTGAAGAACGAGTTCTTGGGCTTTTTTATGGCGTAGATGTTGAAGTCAGTCGAGCCTTCGGGTGGTGAGGACTTGTGTGTTGATTATACGGCGGAGGTTGCGCCACTTGTGGTCGCCGGGGATCCATGCAATGGTAATGGTAGCTTCGTGGTTGGGTTGTGAGCTGACAACGTCGGGGACGTGGCTGTCGGAGAAGGTCTGGTCGTTTTTTTGGAGGATTTATCTGGTTGTTTCAGGTGTGGAGGCGACTATATTCTATGTTGGTGATGGAACCGAGTCGGAGAGTCAGGAGTGGGCCGTGAAGTTTAGCTAACTCGGCGAGTGATTCATGGACTAGAGGTCCGAGTTGGAGGAGTGAGCCGACTACGGGGAGGCCGGCTGGACCAGGTGGTAGTTTTGTGGGTTGAGGACGGTGGACGAAAACTTTGATAAGAAATTAGCAGATTTCTTGGCAATGGAACAATCAAAAAGAAAGACGAAGAAAAAGATGAAGAGTGAGATGTTCTGTTCAATATGGGGCATCGGGATTGTTAAGTGCCCCGTAGCCCAAGCGTTGGCCACCGCCATCTATCTCTCTCTTCCTCTGTTTCTCTGTCGCCGTCAACCTCCTTTATATCTCTAGCCGTGCGATCCAGACATTTGGATGATGGTTTCTATATAGTATCGCCAGATAAACCCTGGCAGTACGTTTCACGGCCCAATTCTGGGGGTCCCACTTTCCCAGCTACATTTCAAAGCAATCTGTCTTTTTGTGTTTTTTTTTTTGGATGCAAAAAATAAGAAATTTTTGAAATTAACCACTATTTAAAACATCATGGGTGAACGATTCTAACCACTTAAGTTCGGTTCGGTTCGGTTTGGATTTGACTCATTTTGAACTCAATTTAATTTTATTCGTTTAAAAAATAATTAAATTTGAATAATTTTTAATACTTGTTTAAAAAATAAGTTGAATTTGAATAATTTTTTAAACTTGTTTAAAAATAAATATTAAAAACTTGGCTCAAACTTTTAAAATTCGACTCATTTATATATAAAATAAACGAGTTATTTGAATTCGGTTTGTTTTGGGCTCGACTCAAACTCTTTTTTAAAAAAATTAGTCAAGTTTCAACATTTTTTTAATCTTGTTTTAAAAAAAGAAAATTGTTAAACACAGGCTTGAACTCGTTTGGCTCGTTTACCGCTCTTAATCATGGCATCATCTTTTTTAGATTTTTCCAAAATATTTTGATGCTTATATTGCTTACCAGGCAGAATGTTTAATTTACACAATTAAAGAGTTAATGAAGTCAATTGATACGAGAAAAAAAAAATTCAAGAGTTTAATTGACACAAAAATTATAATTTGATAATCATATATATAATTTACTCAATAGATAAAGTGAACAATTCTATATATTGATGATTGGATATGATAGTTCTTGGTAGTTATGAAAGTATTATAATTCACTTTGTTCACTTGTAATTTTTTAATTGTATAGTGACATTATGTGACAATAATAACGTGATATCATCATTATATTGAATATTTACTACCCAACTTCACAAGTTTTAGCATTTTTTTTTATTCTATTGCACCATTCATTAATGATTTTTGAGAATTTAAGAATAGCATAGTTAAATGATGGTGTGATTTTCTAATACTAGTTATTTCACGTGCTTGAATATACGGAGTAACAAAAAAATGTCAACAATAAATCTATTTGTATTCACACCTAAAATTAAATTACAAAGATAGAGGAAAGAGATAAATTTAAACACCGATTATAATGGGAGCGAACGATAGTAATGATTATGGGCGGCAGAGGTGGTGATAAGAGACGGTGATAGTTGTGATGATAGTAACCATGAGTGATAATGGTGATAGTGGTGGTGGGACAGTGGCGGGGGTGGTAAGGTGGGGGAAACAATAGTGGTGTAATGGAAAATGGTGATGGTTGGGCACTAGTGGGGTGGTGGTGGTGGGGGTGGCGACAATGACGGTGACGAGCAATATTAACAAAATCGGATTGGTCGTCGAATTGGCTAGGGGATTGAATAAATGATTCATTGGTTCAACCGGTGAGTCAACTGGTCGGACCGGTCATATAATAAAAAAATAAAAATATATATATAATAATTNAGATAGTATCGCCAGATAAACCCGGCAGTACGTTTCACGGCCCAATTCTGGGGGTCCCACTTTCCCAGCTACATTTCAAAGCAATCTGTCTTTTTGTGTTTTTATTTTGGATGCAAAAAATAAGAAATTTTTGAAATTAACCACTATTTAAAACATCATGGGTGAACGATTCTAACCACTTAAGTTCGGTTCGGTTCGGTTNTTGCGCCACTTGTGGTCGCCGGGGATCCATGCAATGGTAATGGTAGCTTCGTGGTTGGGTTGTGAGCTGACAACGTCGGGGACGTGGCTGTCGGAGAAGGTCTGGTCGTTTTTTTGGAGGATTTATCTGGTTGTTTCAGGTNCATCAAAATTTAACTAAAAAATATAAAATATATCTAAAATACATGCAATTTGTCATATGACAAAAAAAATCAACAATAAAATATCAAATCCCTCATCTGTGATGATACTCTCAATAAAATATCATTAACTGGGTTTGTAGATAGATATCTATCAGACCANTTGGATTTGACTCATTTTGAACTCAATTTAATTTTATTCGTTTAAAAAATAATTAAATTTGAATAATTTTTAATACTTGTTTAAAAAATAAGTTGAATTTGAATAATTTTTTAAACTTGTTTAAAAATAAATATTAAAAACTTGGCTCAAACTTTTAAAATTCGACTCATTTATATATAAAATAAACGAGTTATTTGAATTCGGTTTGTTTTGGGCTCGACTCAAACTCTTTTTTAAAAAAATTAGTCAAGTTTCAACATTTTTTTAATCTTGTTTTAAAAAAAGAAAATTGTTAAACACAGGCTTGAACTCGTTTGGCTCGTTTACCGCTCTTAATCATGGCATCATCTTTTTTAGATTTTTCNCTTCACAAACAGACATAAAGATTGTAAATAGCTGGTTGCTGATCGCTGTCGTTGATCGGTGGTTGTTGATCAGTGATTGCTACTCCCTAGTTGCTGATCAGTGGTTGCTGCTCGTTGGTAGCCTGAACGCTGGTTGCTGCTCATTGGTAACCTGGAGTGGTGGCTTCTACGATTTAGGGCAGAAGAATGGCCCAAATAAAAACAATTGCAATTTATTTGGTTTGTCTTCTAGAGTAGTGGTTTCTCTGGTTTGTCTTCAAATCGTCTGATTTTTAAAAAATTATCGGTTCACGATTTTCTTATTTTTAGCCGGTTCTTTTCTTTATACAGTCCAATTAGGGAACCGGACCGGTTAAGGTCTTAGTTCATGGTTGAACCGAATTAGTTAAGGTCTCAGTTCATGGTTGAACCGGTCCGAACGGCAGTCCAATCCAATTCTGATAACACTGGTGGCGAGGCTAGGGTGGTGGTTGCTATAGAAGAGGTGGTGATGGGGTGGCAACAGTGATGGTGGTGGTAAAGCATGGGGGTGGTGATGGGGTGGCTGCAGCTATGGTGATGGGGTTGGTGGGGCGATGGGGGTGTTTGTAGTGGTGATGGTGATAATGGAGCGCTGGGTGACAACAATAGTAATGGTGTCGGTGGTTGTTATGGCAGAGGTAATAGTGTAGTTGTGGTGGTAATGATAGTAGAACAATGGTGATGAGGATAGTTGTGGTAGTGGGGTGATGCTATTGGTGGTAGTAGTGATGGTGGTGGAACATAGGGGGTGAGGGTGGTAGTGGTGAAAGTGTGAGATAGTTCCAAACACTATTTTTTTTAAAAAAAAAATACTTATGAAAAATAATAAATTTTAACAATATTTTTAAAAAATTACCTAAACACACCATTAAATGTTTATTTTCTCTATTAAATTTAGAGTGTTAATATTAACCATCAAATTAACTTTTAAAATAAAATTTAAATAAATTTCAACCGCGAAAAATAAAAATTATTTTATTTATCTTTTAAAATTTAAATTATATTATACTTTATTCTATAGATGAATTTCTTTTTAAGTGCAAATTTTTTAAGAAGAATATAGAACCGTCTCAACCACACATTTTATGTACTAGTAGCTATAACACGACATGAAGTATGCATAATCACCCCCATCTCATAAGTCAAGACTATGTTATGCGAGTCGAACATTAGACTTCGAGACAAGAAACCTAAATTCTTCCCTTTCACTCTAGTTTGGGAACATGATCACATTACTTCAATCCTTCTTTCCCTTTCCTTTCTCAATGTCATGCCAGAGACATTCCTGAGACTTACTCAAGCAAGAGACATTGGCAATCAATAACATGCATCTTCTTCAAGATCTATTACTGAGGGCTGGACGAATCTCTCTGCTCGGTTTCACAATCAACCCCAGATCCATCTATTTGAGGGAGGTCAAATGCCACGCTCTTCTAATTGCTTAGAAACAAAAATAAGCTTGTTGGCTGCGGTGCTCCAGAGAGAGAGAGAGACTAGTTGATCAATCAGTAAACTCTTTTCATTGCAATGGGAAACCAGTACAAGCATTGAACAATGGCCAGATATAGAAAGAAGTCAATTCAGTTTCTCTACGCCCATGTGGTTAGGGGATCGAGTAAAAACCTGCACACGGACACAAAAAACAGTTTAGTGCTGTTGCGGGGAGGACTGTTCAGCCCGTACTTGCCCGGGCTCTACACTTCCTCGACCCTGAGTAGCCCCGGGAAGACCTCCATTTTCAGCAGCTTCCAAAGCAATGTCTGAATCATTGCCAGGTCCTGCATTTTCTGTGCGGACTGGTCGAAGCAAACCCTGCAATCTCAACAGGTAGCTCTGGCTAGAAGATTGTGTTCTCACATATCGAGTTGCTGTCACAACACTGGCGGATAATCGCTCTGGATCAGCACGTATATTAGATAAGGCACTAAGGTCAAGGTTTGGAAAAACTGAGCAACGGCATCGAGGGCACTTCACATTCAACCGAAGCCACTCATCAATGCATTCCACATGGAAATTGTGAGCACAAGGCAGGCCACGAACCTGCACCACATTTAGGGAGAAATCTGAGCAGACATGCCCCCAAAACAGCCACAGAGCAATAATGTTTTGAGGATTAAAGGGTTTTCTTGGAATTAAGGGGTAAAGGGATTCCTTCTAAGCTGTACAGGGTTTCGTCTGGTGCTCTGCCTGACATCCATCAGTCTGTGTTCTAATTTCTGCATCAACTAACCAGTGCCAAAGCCCAAGATAGGTGGCAGATTTGTATTTTAGATACAGTCCAAACTCTGAAGTTTGAACGCGAAACTTAATATGCAAACCTCTGAAGTGCCATCATTAAAATGGCGATATATCTAATATAACCGCAGAAAAGAAGATACATAGCCAATCTCTCAACTAGCCAGACTATGGGATCATAGGACCTGTAGAACTGCAATATTTCAATGACTATCTGATGGACTAAGGATATATTTACCTCATTCCCCACATGAAACTCTTCCAAACAGATAGGGCATTCACTGCAANAGAGAGAGAGACTAGTTGATCAATCAGTAAACTCTTTTCATTGCAATGGGAAACCAGTACAAGCAATTGAACAATGGCCAGATATAGAAAGAAGTCAATTCAGTTTCTCTACGCCCATGTGGTTAGGGGATCGAGTAAAAACCTGCACACGGACACAAAAAACAGTTTAGTGCTGTTGCGGGGAGGACTGTTCAGCCTGTACTTGCCCGGGCTCTACACTTCCTCGACCCTGAGTAGCCCCCGGAAGACCTCCATTTTCAGCAGCTTCCAAAGCAATGTCTGAATCATTGCCAGGTCCTGCATTTTCTGTGCGGACTGGTCGAAGCAAACCCTGCAATCTCAACAGGTAGCTCTGGCTAGAAGATTGTGTTCTCACATATCGAGTTGCTGTCACAACACTGGCGGATAATCGCTCTGGATCAGCACGTATATTAGATAAGGCACTAAGGTCAAGGTTTGGAAAAACTGAGCAACGGCATCGAGGGCACTTCACATTCAACCGAAGCCACTCATCAATGCATTCCACATGGAAATTGTGAGCACAAGGCAGGCCACGAACCTGCACCACATTTAGGGAGAAATCTGAGCAGACATGCCCCCAAAACAGCCACAGAGCAATAATGTTTTGAGGATTAAAGGGTTTTCTTGGAATTAAGGGGTAAAGGGATTCCTTCTAAGCTGTACAGGGTTTCGTCTGGTGCTCTGCCTGACATCCATCAGTCTGTGTTCTAATTTCTGCATCAACTAACCAGTGCCAAAGCCCAAGATAGGTGGCAGATTTGTATTTTAGATACAGTCCAAACTCTGAAGTTTGAACGCGAAACTTAATATGCAAACCTCTGAAGTGCCATCATTAAAATGGCGATATATCTAATATAACCACAGAAAAGAAGATACATAGCCAATCTCTCAACTAGCCAGACTATGGGATCATAGGACCTGTAGAACTGCAATATTTCAATGACTATCTGATGGACTAAGGATATATTTACCTCATTCCCCACATGAAACTCTTCCAAACAGATAGGGCATTCACTGCAATCAGTAGGAACTGCCTTCAGCCTGAACTTTGGCAGTTCCTGAATAAGTGCCTCCACTGCTTCTCTCTGCATGCCAAAACAAGACCCCACCCGTTAAAAGTTGGAATTGATAAAACAGATAGTAATGTTGATGCCATGTGGTTTAAGTGCAAGAGAATGGTAAGGGTNCTTCCACTGCTTCTCTCTGCATGCCAAAACAAGACCCCACCCGTTAAAAGTTGGAATTGATAAAAACAGATAGTAATGTTGATGCCATGTGGTTTAAGTGCAAGAGAATGGTAAGGGTAGATATAGGACCACAACTAATATGCTGCATATTTTACTAGTTTTCAATCAATACTGTTAAAGTATATAAATCCTTATGTTATACCCCCTTTGTCAGCGTAAACTTCATGATGAAATGGTTGTTTAATATGAGAATAGAGGACGAAGTCCTGCGTTCGAATCCCGATGTTACCATAATAATAAACAGTTTGTTTGTACGTGCTTAATAGATACCAATGCTTCAGTCCAAACAGACTGCTAGGGCACGATATTCTGGGAGAGATACATAATATGGGGCNAAGAAGTCCTGCGTTCGAATCCCGATGTTACCATAATAATAAACAGTTTGTTTGTACGTGCTTAATAGATACCAAAGCTTCAGTCCAAACAGACTGCTAGGGCACGATATTCTGGGAGAGATACATAATATGGGGCATTTAAATATACCCAAACATGAAAGTTGGAGCATCAATTCTAACCCTTGATAGTATTTTAGCTGTTACCTGAGTCGGGGTCAAGTAAAGCCCTGGATGGTATGCAGCTGCATCTTGGCCCATGCCTCTCATCTCTTGGCCAGCTGCTTCAAAAGCCCAACCTGGTACCCGAATCATGTCGACCAACACCTGAAAATCAGACAGTATGTAAACCAAATTTCCAACATAAACTACAAACAGGCAGTACTATTACAAATTAAAAATGATTACAGTCAGCTTCCCATTCCACAAGCTACAGAAAACTAAGTATAACAAAAACTAGTTTGAGCTTCATTTTGCATGGACGATTGTAACACCTGAACAAACATAACAAAATAATAAACAATCGAACTATTAATCAGCTGTTGTATCACATTGGTTTGATTGACCTACTTGTGAAACTTACCTTTCCCAACCTGGATAAAGTTGTTTATGATCCACCACACAAACGTGGCCTATTAAAGTAACTAAATTCACCTGTGGATATCATCTTCCTTCAGATGCCATTATACAATTCAACTCTTCTAACAAAAGGTAGGTTGATTGCAGACCAAAAGATATTATACCCTACAGCCCCACTTTAACTGTCTGCCACCAACCTCAATGGAAACTAGACAAACTTATCATGCCCAAAGTGTGGCACATCATCGGCAACATCAATTATTTTAAAAACTTCCAATGAATAAAAGGAGTAAAATTCTTACAATCGCTGTTTTTTATTCAATGCAAATGCCATTTTTATCCAGGGGCAAATTTTACTATGAGGCTCACTACCATCCAGAAGCTATGAACGAAACAACATGTGATCTTTTACCAAATATTAGTATTACACTTTTAACGTTGCTCCACTGGAAACCACTCTTTCATCTACTGGATAGTTTGCACATATAACCATCCTAACCATGGGAGTATTCTTTCTCAGCATACACTTACTACTTAAAAATCCTTTGACAGGAAGTTTAAAACAAAAAGAATAATAATTCACTCCATCCAAAAGACGCTACAACCATTACAATAAAACATGGTTGGAGGGGAGAAGGAAAAAGAAACACAAAAATCTAACTACCAATGCCCATACAACACATCCAATAGGCAAATGTTGCAAGGAATATGCTCCTGGCATTGACATATAGTAGAGAGTTAAAAATCATTATGTTTCAGTCAGACGCAAACCAGTGGACTATAATTTCCGGATATGGTATTATTGGCAGTCAAACTAGATGAAATATTCAAACAAACTAACAAGACTGACAAAGACTCCAAAATGAACTCCACACACTTTCAAGGGTGACCCAGTTTTCCTATGCTGGACCACTTTTCAGGGTGACAGAAAATTGTAATTCTTGGATTCTTCACTATCTTCAAGCCCACCCAATGCATATGATTAAACTTTCATCTTAGCAGTTGCCAATGAAGATAATTTACAAGAAGCTATTTCACTGGCATAAGGAAAGGCAATAAGAAAAGTCAAGAAGGATTTAATAGGACTTCCTATCGCCAAAAGAATGTCACAAGAACATTTATTCCTGGGCATTCATAAAATCTTTGATAAAATTAATCCACTTCAAGAACCCTATTTCTTTCCAAGAGGCATAAGTAAAACATACCATATCAGGGTTTTTAACCAATTTCAGCAAAGTGCTGAGGATAGGATACACAACTTACGAACATTGACGTAAAAAAGTATTTAATGTATCATCCTGTTTAAAGGCTTAAGATTTTAGATGCGCCGGTAGTTTAGCATAATAGTAATAATGCAGAAGCTAATGTGTTCAAATTTCACCACCACCCTAATAATTATGAGATTTGAAAATGCTTATCCCCCAAAATATGGCCTGCACAAGAGGACGTGTTGAAGTACATAAATACTTATGTGATACCCTCTCCAACAACTTAAAGATTTGAGATGAGTTCAAAATTGAGCATGCTGTTATGGTAAAAGGGCTTAAATGTTGCCGTTATTTGATGACTGTAATATTTGAACGTGCATGGCCCAAAATTTGGCCCCGATGTGAGGAATCGCGTTGAAATAAATAAAAAATGCTTATATAACACCCTTTTAAAATTCTTAAACTTTTGAATGGGATGGTGATTTAACACAGAAAAACACTTTGCAAATATAAGGCCTTCTAAAAAAAAAAAAGAGCAAAAACACAAACACAAACACAAACACAGCATAAACATTCAAAAAGATGAACTTCCTGTATTTATTTGCGGGAGCAGTATTACCCGGAGATGTAATCCTTTGCAGTCACTTTTACGAAGAATGTATGGCAAATTGGTCAGGATAACAACTTCAATTTGTTTATTGTTATCTTTTCCATTCGTTTGTAATTTTTTTTGCATTGAATTAGTAAGAAATTATGCCTTAAACAATAATTTAAGAGTAACAAAGAATAAAGCTTGATATTTATGTAGAAACCTATAATTTGGGCATTGAAAATTAAAAGAAAAGTATGGTGGAATAAAACAGCATACCCCATATTCTGAAGTAGGAATCCCCTGCTGCGCACGTAGTAAATGAGCCTGCCTTCGTGTTAACCACTGAAAAAGAGAAGTTAAACAATAAAATGATGAACAGGATATATATTTGGTTATTGAAAAACAAAATGGTTTAAAACTATTATAGGAATAGCTACATAAACACCAGATCAAAGCAATATATCCTAATTCCGAGGAGAAAGAGGCTATCATGTTTTGTTTGATGAGACAGGGTTGTAAAATGTTAACCTTCCCCACAGAGATGCAGGCAATGCAAAAGAGTCCACAGTAGCTGAAAAGTAACCAAATAAGGAAACCCCATTTCTGACCTTCTTCAGGCAACTGCAAGCATTCAAAAAAAATCAACTCCAGTTTAAGTCCAATTTTAGCTTACATCACTCCTCCTCTGTAACCGGGAAAAGAAAAAGCTAAGGAAGGAAATGAAAAACTCACGCAGTTTCTGGCATTAGTGAACCATAAGGTACCAATAATAGTCCAAGCCCAAAGAAAAGGATAAAATAGCAGAGAAAGAATTGAAAGAACCACCATTCTTCCACAAAAACGAGCATACCTCTGTTGCCACCCAAAATCCCTACAACCGTATGAATTTGAAGATAAGATAACCGAATATGCACAATTTTGGTAGAATGCCTTCAGAGAACTAAAGCACAAAGCAAGCCGCACATCTATGCAATCATTCCATAAGAAGGTTCGAGATCAAAATTGCAAACATCAGTATTGGAAAGGAAAGATTCAAAAACCTACCAAGGAATTTTTCTCCACTCTTAAGTTAGAGAAAATATTCAGAAAAACTATTGTAGAAACCTCATAACCAACTAAATGTGGCTTAACAATATGGCAAACTGAATGCAAATTCTTGATGAAGCACACACAATCAAGTAAAACATGACAGTGAATTCAAAAAATAGCATCTGAATTTCCTCGTAAAATTAAAAATAGCCTGTAATAGATTAAGATCTGAGGCCTTACAATCCCATCCCAGAAGCAAGACCATAATCCACAAACATCAAAAGCCTAAAAACAAACACCGTCGTGTAGTCAACCTGGTCCAACAGAAAAATACACATATTTAGACTACACATTTGGAAAAGTAGCATAAGAAGCACAATTCGAGTAGATCCAACTTTGTCACATGATAGAATGATAATACTCACCACGATCCATATGTGCAATGGGTATGTACAAAGATGGTACCTCTTCCAATTGATGGCAACAATTATTCTAATAATCATACGGTTAAAGAAGCCATTTTGTCCGGTCATTTAAAAGAATCAGATTAAACAAACAAAACAAGAAGAAAAACCACAACGGAAGAAAATTAAACAATGAAGCTTAACGTTCAAAGGATACATACTCATCGCCAGCATTGACAAGAAAAACCCATCGTACCTGCAAGAACCGAAATTGAAACTCACTCCTTCGATTCACTGAAACAAATTACAAAAAACGTACATCCAGATGCATATATTTCCAAAGATAAATAAATGCACAGACAAAAATCAACGTTTCCGAGAAAAGATTCAAGACACTCACCACTTGAAATCAACGCCTCTGATCACCATTGAAGACGAACTAATACTTTGAAGCCCTAGTTTCACTCCAAGATTCGTTTCTCATTTCGTGATGGAAAACACTCGAATCTGAGAGCACAACCGATTCGTTCGAGACGAAGCATACAAATACAACGAATCTAGAGAGAGAAATACATGTACATAGAAGCGACTCTGGAGAGAGATTCCTCCAGGCTTTCGTAGAGAACGCAAAGGGAGGCTTCTCCGTGAAGAGAGAGAGAGAGAGAGAGAGAACCGATGAAGTGAAGAATGTGCAGCAAAAGCAAGCAACTTAATGCGAGTAGCGGAACATTAACGGACGTTTTCTTGACGTTATTGTTTATTTTTTTTGCGCAATGACGTTATTGTTTATTGAGGTGTTAGTTGGGGCACAGAATTTGAAAAAAAGTAATGCTACGAAGACATAAAAAATAAATTTAATAATTTTAACTATTGATTAATTAAAATATTTTCATTTATAAGGATGTCAAAACGAATTAGCGATAAAATTTTAATATTTTAAAATATTGCATAATATATTCAGATGTTTTCGTAATGTTTCAATTTGGAGTTTTTACACAATTGTGTAGGATGGTGCTTCAAGATATTTTTTTGTATATTTTCAATCAATGTTTAAAAAAAATTCTTAAATTTTTTAGTCATTTCCATTTATTTTTTGAAACAATTCAAAAAACTTTTGAAATTGGTCGAAAGATTTTCTTGTCCTAATTGACTAAAATAAAATTTTGTTCATTGGTTGCCGTGGTATCATCTCGAATTCATTTAATTAAGCTTATATCGATTTATTTATTTAGTGAGTCATTCAAATTAAATAAAATTAAAATTGTAGTTATTTATTATAAAAAATAACAAATAAAATTTTATACATATCACAATTTTTTGAATTTAAAAAATAAAAATATAATGTTAAAAAATAATTACTTAGTACCGTACTTGAACCCAAATTGATAGGTGTAGCCTTGTTTTTGTGGATGGGGGAGGGCCGGAAGGCCGGGGGCAAAGGGTGTGGTACGGAAGCAAGTGGGCGACACGTAGGATTTGCGTTGCTTACGTGTACAAATTAGTTTCGGTCGGTGGGGAGTTTTGGTGGAACTCATTATCCTGCTATTAAAAAAATCGAATATATCACACTTCCTTTTAAAAGGTTGAGAAATTTAGAATTGGGTGAACTACACTTGGACCCCCCGAGTTTTATATAATAAATACAACAACCCTTTTTTTTTTTTTTTTTGCAAATTTAAAACTAAGACCTCTCACTTTTTGAAAAGTGATAATTGGAAGATCCCCTGGTTTTACCCAGTGTAGCCAACAAGTTTTAGTCGACCCAAAGTCAAAGTAGTTCGAGTGATAACATTGACAAGTTATAAATTTAGACGTTTTGAGTTTAAATTTTGACAATTATTTAGAGTTAAACCTGATAAATTTATCTCTTATGAATATCCTAGACCCAATGTGAATGAATGCTACTTTTGATCAGACCAAGAAAGAGATTAATTAAAATGTACATAAATTAACTCAAAAACCCTTTATTGTTGAACAAAAAAATAATTTTTAGTAGACTTTCCACACTCTCATTTCGTTTTTCGTGCTTCTACTCTTTATGGAAGGCAAAATCGAGTGGTCATCCTTGATCTCCCAATCAAGAAATTAATTATGTCAAATATGAGAATTAGTTTTTTAATTAGAGGTAGTCTGTACTTGAAGACATAGTGTAACGTAAACCAACTGATTAATTTTGAGAAATAAGAAAAATAAGGTAAAATTTAATATGAATAGTTTTGAGAGAGATGTTGATAATCATTGAATAAGTTTATTTGAAACCGTTTGATAGATTTATTGAAATCTGTCATACTTTATATTTTAGATTATACATATAGATGTGTCATTTTTTAAAAAAAATTGCATTTCAATCTTCTTTGTTATTCCTCTAAGAGTTCTATTTTTACCTTTTTTTTGAACTTGTGATGCATTTAAATTTCATTATAATAATAACATAAAAAAGTTATAAAGGTGATTAATTACTGCATGTCAAAAAAGTAAATAAAGCTTAGAATTCATGTAATTATATTAATCATTTGCTACGTAGTAGTTAATTAGACGTCATATCCAATTTTAATAGTTATTTATATAAGTTCGATAGTTTAAATATTGATAATTTTTTGAGTCAAATCGTGGAGGATTTATTTTTTATGAACATTTTAATCTCGACATATATGACTTATCTTTGATTAGACAAAAAAGAAAATTAGTTAAGATATGCATCAATTAACCAAAAGTTACCCAAAAGTTTTCCCCAATGTTAGGGAATTAATATGACTAAAGTTTATGGACTGAAGTAGGGTTCAACTCTCGTTAATGTCAATTACACATATCCAAAGTTTTACTAAACAAGAGTGAATTTAATACGATCCTATTTTGTAGATCACTGAGTGAGGTGGTCTATTAGAGTATCGATTGAATTTTTCACCTTAAGGTTAGAGGTTCAAGTTTTAAAGTTTACATTAGAATTTGGTAGTTAACCGATATGCTAACCTAATTAGGTTCATTCCTGATAGAAGTAACGGGTGTGATCAATGGTCTCATGATCCCATCGGTGAAAAATTATCGGGGTAGTCTCTGGCCAATTTCCTTTGCCCTCACCTTTTTTACTCTGATAAAATAAAAAAAACAAAACAAAACAAGTGAAGGAATTTGAGATAATAAATGATCTTATAATTTTGATTAATAAAGAGTTAGCATTTAAAAATTATAAACTCTTTTTTATATGAATGAAGTAAAATTAGGGTTACACTTCTAATGAATTTTCACTCAATTGGGTGTTCTCAATGATGATTTTATCGATAAATAAAGTCTTATTTATACTTGAAAAACTGTCAACTAGTTGTTACCGGTCACCAAATTAGTCTCTATGACCACCAATATTTATTCAACTCCTTACAGTTAAAATAGGTTAAAATATTCCGAATATGATTTAACCACCTTAATCTAGCCTTTCACTATTTGATAAGTCCACCTAACAAAGACACTCATTCAGACTATAAAATATCTAATTCAAAGATCAAAACATATCAATGCAGTAATATGTATGAATGCACTAATAAAAAATAAATTTTAATACATAATATTGTAAAAAATACATTTATGTTATATGACATAAATAATAAATATTTAACCAACAAATTAAAATTTTATTTATTCCAAATTTGACCACCAACTATGACTTAACTAACATCAAATAATTTTAACCACATATATTCCAGCAACAGAAAACACATCTTTAAATGCCGGTATCTAATGGACCACGTGAAATTCAATTACCATAGTAAACACAGTTTTTCGGTGAATTCTCTTTTTTTCCAAATGTTTTTTTTTTTGAATATTGGGGTCAATATTGATGATTAGCATTTTGTGTGCTATATTACTTTCAAGTGTAATTTTTTTTAACATAGTACATTCAAATACAAGTAATAATTAATATATATATATGTCGACTCGATCACAACAAATTTTATAAATTTGACAAACACACGACTAATTAAACTCATCAAATTAAGCTTAAAGCTGCATATATCTTATTTTTTGCTATTAGATTGATAATTGACCTTACTATTAGTTAGAATTTATTATCAATTTAATGGTTATGATTCATCACGTTACCAAATACGATTAGTAAATTAGATAAAAAAAATATTTCCCTTAATAAAAATGATTAAAAGCGGGCCGAACAGCATNAGACCAAGAAAGAGATTAATTAAAATGTACATAAATTAACTCAAAAACCCTTTATTGTTGAACAAAAAAATAATTTTTAGTAGACTTTCCACACTCTCATTTCGTTTTTCGTGCTTCTACTCTTTATGGAAGGCAAAATCGAGTGGTCATCCTTGATCTCCCAATCAAGAAATTAATTATGTCAAATATGAGAATTAGTTTTTTAATTAGAGGTAGTCTGTACTTGAAGACATAGTGTAACGTAAACCAACTGATTAATTTTGAGAAATAAGAAAAATAAGGTAAAATTTAATATGAATAGTTTTGAGAGAGATGTTGATAATCATTGAATAAGTTTATTTGAAACCGTTTGATAGATTTATTGAAATCTGTCATACTTTATATTTTAGATTATACATATAGATGTGTCATTTTTTAAAAAAAATTGCATTTCAATCTTCTTTGTTATTCCTCTAAGAGTTCTATTTTTACCTTTTNTTATTAGAGGTAGTCTGTACTTGAAGACATAGTGTAACGTAAACCAACTGGTTAATTTTGAGAAGTAAGAAAAATAAGGTAAAATTTAATATGAATAGTTTTTAGAGAGATGTTGATGATCATTGAATGAGTTTATTTGAAACCGTTTGATAGATTTATTGAAATCTGTCATATTTTATATTTTAGATTATACATATAGATGTGTCATTTTTTTTTTAAAATTGCATTTCAATCTTCTTTGTTATTCCTCTAAGAGTTCTATTTTTACCTTTTTTTTGAACTTGTGATGCATTTAAATTTCATTATAATAATAACATAAAAAAGTTATAAAGGTGATTAATTACTGCATGTCAAAAAAGTAAATAAAGCTTAGAATTCATGTAATTATATTAATCATTTGCTACGTAGTAGTTAATTAGACGTCATATCCAATTTTAATAGTTATTTATATAAGTTCGATAGTTTAAATATTGATAATTTTTTGAGTCAAATCGTGGAGGATTTATTTTTTATGAACATTTTAATCTCGACATATATGACTTATCTTTGATTAGACAAAAAAGAAAATTAGTTAAGATATGCATCAATTAACCAAAAGTTACCCAAAAGTTTTCCCCAATGTTAGGGAATTAATATGACTAAAGTTTATGGACTGAAGTAGGGTTCAACTCTCGTTAATGTCAATTACACNTCAAATATTGATAATTTTTTGAGTCAGATCGTGGAGGATTTATTTTTTATGAACATTTTAATCTCGACATATATGACTTATCTTTGATTAGACCAAAAAAAAAATTAGTTAAGATATGCATAAATTAACTCGGACACCTTTGACCGTTGAACTAAAAAAAAATTATATAATTTTAGCATTAGTTAAGAATTTGGTACACAATGAAGCCACGTCCCGCTCGACCATCACTTGAATGGTTTATTAATGACATTATATAAAAAAGGCTTACTTACCCAAAAGTTTTCCCCAAAGTTAGGGAATTAATATGACTAAAGTTTATGGACTGAAGTAGGGTTCAACTCTCGTTAA